CACACACACACACACACACACACACACACACACACACACACACACACTCTCTCTCTCTCTCTCACACTGTCCCAAATGTCTTAGTGCTATTTTAAACTTTCATAGTACATATACATAGAAAGTATATATATATATATACACACACACACACATACACACACACATTATATAGATAGCATATAGTATATATACTATATGTGGTATACATATACTGTATATGTGTATGTATGCATGCATGTATGTATGTATATGTGTGTGTGTGTATATATATATACACACACACAGTATCCCAATGTCTAGATCTGATGTCCATATATTGTTCCATATGTATGTTTATGCATATACATGTGTATTTATGTCCCATGTCTATATGACATACATGTGTGTGTATATATGTCCCAGCTGGTTTTTTATGGCACCTCAACATTTGAAAAACCCTTTACATATATTATCTCATTTGGGCCTTTTAACAACCTGTGAGGTAGGTTACTACAAATATTGTTCTCCCTATTTTACAGATGAGGAAATTGAGAGAAGTTAAATAACTTGTCCATGACCACAAAGTTATTAAATGTCAGAGACTGGATTTAAACCCTTATCCTGCATTCAATCCCCTATATCAGATTGCCTTTTAACCTCTGATTATCCAGCAGCACTACGCCAGGCACTGTGGAGGCATTAAAAAAGTATAAAACATGACTTCTCTTCAAGGAGCATAATATCTAGTTATATTTATTTGTGAAAGAGGAGCAGGATATATTTCTGTCAGAAAACTTCTTGACAGTGAAAAGTAGATGAGTAACCTTAGTTACACAATTACAAATACACAGTTACAATTCAGATCAATAAACATTGCTGGTACTGTTCTAGGCTCCAGGGATACAAAGGCAAAAATGAAAAATGAAATCTTATTCTTAAGGAGTTCGTATTGTATTGGGGGAAGGTGGAAGAATACCACACAAAGAAATAATGCAAAGTATATACACCTTCCTAATCCCTCAATCTCTATAGATGAGAGGTGACGCATTAATGATATGGATTTTTTTAAAACAAAATTGCATCAGAATTCTTGAGCCTAGGTAAACATTGTCCTTCAGAGAACTGTCTGGGAAAGCTTTCCACTTACTCTGCTGATGCTTTAATTGTTACAGATGGCTTCTTTTGGAATGGCCTTTGGATATTATTTATTGGCCATTTGAGAGAATTTGCCTTATTTCTTTACAATTAAAACTCATTGTTGACCCTAGATTGGCTTTGTCCACTGCCAACACCAAGGGGTCTGAAGCCATTTCCAAAGGAGGAGTTATGTATGTCTTGAGCAGTGTTTCTAAGCAATTGATGCATTATTGAAATAAATGAATAAGCTCCTCAGGTGACTGATGACTTGTGAAAGTACTTTGACAATTTTAAAATGATGTACAAAGCTGAGCTGCCTTCATTGTTGTTATAATTCTTATTTTTTAAAGGGGATAATACTCATGTGAATGTACATATTCTTGCATGCTTTTTAAAATACATTTTTATTGATGTACTTTGTTTTTACATTACCTTCTTCCCATATTCCTTCCCTCTAGAAAATCATGCTATGTAACAAAGAAAAAAAAGAGGGAGAAGAGAAAACTTGACTAAACCAATTAATACATCAAAAAAATGACAATATATATATATATATGAAATGTTCCATGTCTATGGATGCCCCCAGATCCCACTAAAAAGGACTAGAGGAGATGTCCTCTCGTATCTCCTCTTTGGGGCCATGCTTGTTCTTTGTAATTTTGCAACAGTTATTTTTGATTGTTTTCTGGTTGCTCTTTCTGTTCACATTGTTGTAGTCATGGTGTATATTGTTTTCTTGGTCCTACATACTTCACTCTGCCTCAGTTCACGTAAGTCATTTGATGCTTCTCTGAATTCATCCTATTTATCATTTCTTCCAGCAGAATAGTATTACATTACAGCAGAGTAGTAGTATATTCATGTACAATATGTTTAGCCATTCTTCAATTGATGGGTGTCTGTTTTGTATCCAGTTAATGTGGGAACTTTCTTTTTATCACTGATTTTTTTTTTGAAAGTCAGTATCATTATTTTAGAGTGTGATCTGAGAGCCTTCATTCACAGGGGCCACTTTTCTTATTTGATTTAAAACAATTCTAAAAACCTGAAATAGTGAAGCAGGAAAATTCCCTTGAACCACAATGAATGAAGTTTATTTGCTATATTTGTGACATGCGGTAGAGCTCTCACACTAGATTAGCATATATCTGATTTGTAGAAAAGAGGAAACAGCCAGTTTTGCATTTGTTGGTGATTGGCTTGTGATTAACTGAGCCTCCTGGCATTGTTTATTAACTCTTTTCTCATCTATCTTGAACTTTTTCAATATTGAAGAGTCACTTTTGAAATTTGGTGGTCATCAGTTGATGATTAATCTCTAATGAGAATGCAAACTTATCACTGTACAAGGAGAAGGAAAGGAATGGAAGAGGCCTTCTCTCCCACCTACACCCTATGAAATGGAAGGAAATCTGTCTAGCTTATAAAATCTGCAATGGGTTACAAATAGCACTGAATTTGGAATGCAGAACTTGGCTTCAAATTTGGATACTGACTCTAACACTTAGTAGGTGACTTCTGAGGTTCCTTCTTGTTCTAGTGAAAGGATGATTTCAAATTTCTTTGTGTGATTTTTAAATCAACCTACAGCTCATTTTCCCCTTAACTGAGAAATTTCTGACAGAAAGCAGATGCTAGATCTTTCCCTGTCCAAAAAAAGCCTAAGGATCTTTGTTAAAGCCCTGTATTAGCCCCCCTCCAAGTGTTTTGAAATAATCTCCCAACCCCTTTCTGCCATGCTGTAAATCCTTCCCAGGATGAAGGTACATAAGGACCAGTCTTGGAAATTTTCTGTTTTCTTTTTCGCCTGCTAGAGATTTGACGACACTACATGAGTGACTGTAGCTTTCTGCTCCATGTCCCATGTTAGCTACAGGGACTTCCTTCTTACTTGGGTGATGATGGGGCAGGGAGACAAAAAGAATATTACATGTCCCCAGCAGCTGGAATATTGCAGTACCATGCTAAGAGAACCAAATTTCTATTGAAAAACTATGAGAAGCTACAAAATACCTAACTCTCATTTCCTTACTAATGATGTACCTGAGTTTAATTATTTCTGTACCTTTGCTTACACCTCTTTTGTATCTTTGAATGGCAGAGTGGTGGCAGAAGGCATTACTTGGCCTGCACTGAATAAACTCTGCCCTCGTGTGCCTGGTTCCTGTTGTCTTATCTCCTCTTTCCCAGCCCTGGGCCCCTAAGTAAATGGTTCTCACATGAAAATCATAGATCTCTTACTGAAGAGCTTAAAATGCTTATTTAAGCACAGTCAGTTGGGAAATCACATGATAGAAGTAAAACAGTGTGTTACATTTGTGGCCACTGACATTACTCATAATTGTAATTTTAGTTCCTAAAGCTTTTAATGTCAGGAACAGAGTGCTGTAGTCAACAGAATGCACTTTCTCCAGGTTTTTCTCATTTTAGGCCAGGGAGAAACTATCTATGACTCCCTTTCCGATGGAGTGATTGTGTTTAAGTGGGTTAATAATCAGTAGCAGTCCCTAAAAAGTTTTTTTTTTTTTTTAATCAAGGTTGGCCCTGGAACAGAGTTGAGAAAATACACTTCCCTCCCCTCTTTGCAGAGATGAGGCACTATGGCTTTAGAATATTGCATACACTGTCACACATGGTTTGGTTGGTTTTGCTGAGTTGCAAATTGCAAAACTGATTTCAAATCAGGTTAGCTTGAACAGTATCTTTAAACCACTTCCTGGGAAAAAAATCTAACCAGGTGTTTCTAACTTTCTGTTGCCAGGTACCAACCCAGCCAGCAGAAAAGCCCTTCCTCTGAATAGCTTTTCACCAGAGACGATGATGCTTCCTGCTGATGTAGAAAAGGTGAAGAGAACCTCCATCTTTTGTTAAACATGGCTCTTTATAGGTTCTTTTAGATTCTACTGCTCTGCCTTACACTGATTCACTTTATATGGTACTCAAATTCGAGAAATACATTTTGGGTCGTATGCAACCATTCACCGAGTCCTTAAAACACTATGTTTTTAAACTCCATGGTCACTGACTCAGTTGAATAATTGAATGTTTCAAAGGTCATTGATTTCATCAGTATGGATACTTTGTCCATTGATGTAGTATCCATGCCTTAGTAGACAGTTTTTACAAATTTCTGAGTCCTTCTCAACTTCCCCCTCATCTTCTACCCTTGCTCCTCAAACAATAACCACCACCACCATAATCCACTGGCCAAATCTCTAGGATGGCTGGATTCAGACAACAGATTTGGCCCCTCAGTGAGACCGTGCTTAAAGCCTTGGCAGACTTTGGGCTCTGATGTCATAGCCTGTGGCCCCTCTCAGGGTTGTCTTTCTGCCAGGATGTGGCATCGGAGCAGGACTGTTGTAACAGACTTATTTTGAATAAGCTTAAGTTATGTTCAATTATCTGCCCCTGCTTAGATATACATACCTGCTTGGAATTTTTTTTTTTTAAGGCTTTCTCTCCTTGACTTAGTACATGCGGTTATGTTGTGAGTATTTAAACTCTTCTGTGCTTTTCTGCAGGAGAATGCCCACTTTTATGTTGCAGATATTATCATATCTGCAATGGAGACAATGAAATACAACCTCCTGAATCAGCCTCCAGGAGAGAGCGGGGAAGGATTGGAAATGAGTGGCTCCCTTGGAAGTGATCAAACTGACTTTGAGAGGGGCTTTTATATCCCTGAAAAGCAAAAATCTTCATCTGCTACTTCATCCGACAGTGGCTATGAAGGCAAGCTGGCAGAGTGTGGGAGTCCTTAATGGCTCGTTCCTCCTGCAATATCTTTTTAAATCCAGGGTATAATTTTCTCCGAAAAACCACACGTTCTTCGTTATCACCCATTTTGTTCCTTAACCCTTTGACAGCTGGCTTTATCTCCCTTGCTACACTGTAAGCCTCTTGAACCCATAGATTGCGCCTTATTTATCTTTCTGTCTTTGTGTCTGACTCATCTTTCTGTAGCTACCAGAGACAGGCTTAATGAATGCATAGGCCTATGTTAACCCTAAAGCCTTAGTTGTTGTTGTTGTTTTTTAACAAAATCCTACTTAAATAAAATCTATTCTCTTGGCTATCTTTGTCTTATCGAGAGGAAAGAGAAGTGTCACCTCTTTTTCTCTCCCTTAAAGCTTAGTAAAAACCCTTCTCCCTCCCCCCCTTCTAGGTTGTTCTGCATTGCAAGTAAACCCAGTAGTTGAAACACCCATTCATCAACAGGAGCTTTGTGAATGTGGCTCTGATGATTTTGTCATTGTGGGTAAGATCTGAAAATTCATATGGTATGTTTGTGCCCATGTGTTTGGGAAGGGACCAGGGGATTGTTGTCCTGACTGGCTATGTGATCTTGGGTAAATCAGTTTGCTTCTCTGCCTCAGTTTTCTCATCTGTGAAGTGAGTGGGTTAGATTAGATGATTAGGCCTCTTCCAGATCTAAAATTTCTATGATTCTAAGACTCTGATACTTTGTCTTTGTGGATATCATTTGTACCTGTGGAAAGGGCAAGGAAAAGTAGATGTTCATTATAGTGATCAGTATAGGAAAAATAAACTCGTTTTGTTTTGACGCTTCCTTTCTGTGTGTGCTATCACAACAATTATGACAAAATTTCATTGTGGATTAAAAAAAAACTATTCCTTTTATTAAATTGTTATTGATATCTCTCGTTTTTACATCGCTGACATTTCCCGATATAGCCATTTCCCCACCATCTTCCCGAGAGCTATCCTTATAACAACAATTAAAAAAAGAAAAAGAGGGATCCTTCCCCCACCCCCAAATCTTTTTCCAGAATAGTTGGACTAATTTACAGCCCCACTCTGTGTATATGTATTTGCGTACATGTATATATGTCTATATCTCTACATGCACATATATGTATATATTCACACACATGTGTCTATATGCTAATACATGCTTCTGTGTATATATGTCTATATGCACATATTTATATATATATATATTCATATATATATATACAGAAATACACATTTACATACACATGGATATAGATATAGCTATCTCCCGGTATTGAAGTGACTATCTTTTGTGGAGTTGTTTTTTTAAAACACTGTTCTGAGAGTTATCTCTACTTTTCTAAAAAGAGGAATTTAAGAGAGACCTAAAGTCCAGAGATGTAGAATGATTTGGCTTCTTTAATTGTAGAGCATCAATTCCCAGTGTGAAGTCTGAGGAAGTTAATTAGACGTCCCTTTAATGTGGTCTGTGATTGCATGAATCTAATATTTCTTTTTCTTGTCTTCCTAAAGAACTTGATGACTTTGACAAAATCACAGAAACTTGTACATGTTTCCATGACTTGAACAAAAGGTAACTCCCTTACCTATGGGTCATTGGTCATTGACAGGGTTTTTCAAAGGAAAATCTGAATATTCAACCTTCAATAGCATGGGTTGAGTTCAGCTAGGTGGAACAATAGGGATTTTGCCTTAGGTGAAGTACCTTGAGTATATAGTTTCTAATTCTGGGAAGGGTGAAATTTCACAGTAAATAGCAGCCACAGGCAAGTTAAGCTAAAAGACATTCTAACAAGTTGCCTTGGGGTAATACCCTGTCTTTTTTCACTTCTGCCTCCTAGACAAATATGGGAGGGATAACAAGAGACCTCTGGAGAACTGGGAGAAAGCCGGTATATCTTGCAGGAGGACAGGGTAGAGAGGCAGAGAGGTATAGTCAAATGGGTGTTGAATTTGGAATCAGATGACTTAAGTTCAAATATTGTCCCTGTCATTTTTCTCTTATCAGACTTTGGACAAATCACTTAACCATTCTGGGCCTTAGTTTCCCCAACTGGAAAATGAGGAGGGGTAGTAACTAGATGATTACCAAGGTCCCAACTAGCTCTAGAACCATGATCTGGTGTCATACCTAGCAAATTATTGTAGTTTGGATCTTTATTTGTCTGACTTTCAGATGCACTGATGAGCTGGACTTCAATTCAGCTGAATTGATAGCGAAGGACCTATACCGATCTTTCTGCAGGCGTTCTAGGTTGACAGAGGCTGACTTTCACCTAGCAGGCTCTCTCCAGGCAGATGGGTCAGTAGTAAGTATCTGGGCCAAAATAAATTGACTTTTCCTTGAAAGCTTTCTAACCGTCTTGAATGCTTCTGTTTTTTACAAAAGTATATCAAGTGAAAATGACTTCCTCAGGTGATGTCAATTTGTAAGAAAACAAAACATCTAAAAATACCAAGGAAGGAGAATTTCAGGCTGTAATAGATTCATGGGAGGAAAGAACTGAGGCACTTGATCCCCTCCATTTGCGGGGATACTTTTGCAGGGGACTTTAGATATATTTGAGGTTGTTCACTTTTGTCTTTGTCCAGAGCCTAGCCTGATTCCTGGTACATAGTAACCATTTCATAAATGCTTACTAATGCCACTTTTTTTTTTCCAAAGGCAAAATATTTTTGTTGGGAAAATAGATACTGAATTTTTGCCAACTTATAAAGTGAGTTTCTATTTGTTGCACTAAATTTCTTGCCAAACTATAATTTAAGTTGATACTCAAGTCTGTCTGTTCTATGTTTCCCAGGCTGTAAATGAAGACAGTCTTCAAAAAGACTTTGAGTCCAGTTTGGATATAGTCAAGGAGATAAAGTTTAAGTCCAGGATTAGAGGGACTGAAGATTGGGCTCCACCTAGATTTGAAATAATATTTAACATTCATCCACCACTCAAGTAAGTTGGGTTGATTTGTTGACCTTTTAATTCTCCTTCCGTTTCACCAACCAATATTTTAGCAAGTTGGAAATCCTTGGAAACTAGTCATACCAAAAAGAGACATTAAAGTCTTTAGTTTTTTTTTTGAATTTATTGAGCTGTGTCTGACACTGAATTATTCTGCCCTGTTTATCTTAAGACTTTTGATTTCCAACTGAAAAGAAAAATGAAACATTTTCTCTGCCACATTAGTCTTTACTCAATTTAGGAGCATTCATATGGAAAAAATGAAAAGATAAGGTGTTCATCTTGACCAGGCTCATTCTAGTCCTTTTGTACCATACTGAGATCAGACTACATTTGGATTGTGTTTGGTTCTGGGTGCTACGTTTTAGGAAGGAAAATGATAAAATGGAGAATATCCAGGGGAGGTTGTAGCAGGATGGTGAAGAAGTAGGGAAACAGCTTGGGGAAGAAAAGACTTTTAGGGGGGAAAGGAAAGGAAATAAGAATTGTGTTTGGGTTTTTGAAGGGCTTTAATGTGTAAGAAAGACAGATGTTCTGCTTGACCTTAGAAGGATGAACTAGGAGCACTGGGTGGGAGTTTGAAAGATGCCAATTTGTGAATGATTTTAGGAAAAATTCCTAATGATTAGAGCTATGAAAAGATGGCACAAGCTTCTTCTGGAGGTATCTCCCTCACCTGAGGTCTTTAAGCAAAAATTGGATGACTACCTGTCAATTATGTTGGAAAGGGAACTCCTTTGGAAGGAAATGTCAAACTAAATGGTCTGTGAGGCCCCGTATTCCAACTCTGAGAGTCTATGAAGAGGCTCAGGATGGTCTGGCCTTCTGTTTTTTTCTCTATCTCTGAGGGAATTCATGTGTAGGAGTGAATAAATTAACTTTATCTGAAGAATGAGTGGCTGTCTCTAGGATCCAAAAGTAACCCTTCTCTAAGGGAAGGGGAGGGTCATAGGACTGGGGAAGGGCACTATATTTTTATGTGAACTGTTTCTGGCAGTAATTGGACCCTAACCTTAGATAAGCTTTATAACATACCCAGAACTATAGATTACATTCAGAATAATTCAGTGTCAGACACAGCTCAATAAAACACAATGATCCTTCCCTGGGAATGTTGGATAGTTCTGGCTTTTTGTCCCATTGAGTATCTTCCTGTAAATATTTCATATACATGTCGTGTGTGTGTGTGTGTGTGTGTGTGTGTGTGTTTTGTTGTTAAGGTCCCTTGGAATGTAGTCAATAAATAATGAGCCTGATTTTATACTTCTGCCTTACTCAGTGTGATCCTTTATCGATATCTTGAGAAGTTCCTTAAAAAAGATCTATGATAGTTTCATAATTGAATATGTATGTGTATGTGTGTGTGTATCTGTGTGCCTGTGTGCCTGAGGGAGAACTAAGACATTGGACACATTGTAATATCACTTCTTATAAAGGCAAACTTTTTCAGTGTTGGCAGATTCTGATCTCTAGGCTCTACAGTTATTTAGTTCTGCGATAAGTCAAGTTGCAGGTGTTTCAGAAAGTCTCTGGTTGTTGGTTTTCAAGTATATACAGTGCGGGCAATGTTTCAAATCTTGGCCAGGACATATTAAGTGCGTTTACTAGATCCAGTCTCTTTATTTCTTCTTTTAAAGGCAAAATCATCCCAAACCATGAAAGCAGTCACTTTTATTCAATCTCTACCCATTCTCATCCGATTTAATTGTTCCTATTTTATGTCATAGGAGGGATTTTGTGGTATCTGCCCAAAACTTTTCCTGCGCTGGCTGTGGAACACCAATAGAACAGAGTAAGTTTGACTTGGTGTAACTGACTAATTCAGAAATAATTGTGAAAAACAACAATAAGCTACAGTTGAGGTTCTCTGGCAATTTTTTTTAATACAATAAATACTGTTTACTGAGTAGAAAATTTTTAAGGAAGATCTTTTCCTTTGTTCTACCCCATCCCCTAAGTCCAGTAGACACAGTACTTAGCGTAGTGATTTATCTACATTTGCCCCTCTCCACATCATTCACATATGTAAAAAATAAGCCTGGCAGCATTTTCATGCTAACAAATAGGGTTGTGCCTAACTTAAGCCTTGGGGCAGCTAGGTGGCATAGTGGATAAAGCACTGGGCCTGGTGTCAAGAAGACCTGAGTTCAAATCTAACCTCAGATACTTACTTGCTTTGTAACTCTAGGCAAGCCACTTCACCTCTGTTTGCCTCAGTTTCCTCAACTATAAAATGGATATAATGATAGCACCTCTTTCCCAGAGTTGTTGTAAAGCCCAAGTGAGGTAATAATTGTAAAGTCCTTAGCACAGTGCCTGGTCTGTAACAAGTGCTATATAGATGTTAGCTATTTAGCTATTATAATATATGATAACATATAATTATATGTTATACATAATTATATTATATATTATAAATTATATATTATATAATAACACATAATTTTATTATTATGTCAGTTATTTTAGTAGGCAACTGCCTCTGTGGTATATATGATAGGATGAGCACAAAATGGCTTCCAGGTCTCCTAGGACTCGTCTTGTTATATCTGATATTCCCACCATTAAATTGCTATTGCTTTGACATGTAAGATCCCTGTGTAGACTATAGGAATTTTAGCTGAGATGTACTTTTAGAGATTGTCTATTTTGGCTTCCTCATATTATAGATGAGCTAAATGAGACCTAGAGGTGTAAAGTCATTTTCCAAGTTTCATTTAGTAAGCAGCAGAGCTAAGAGTCAAATCCAGCTGTTGGAAGTTAGCAGGAAGGCTCAATGCCCTAATGGTGATCATATTAGCTAACCAGTCACTTAACTAGTCCTGAAGGAATGAGATGCAAGTTGTTCAAGTTTTCTTAGGTGTCTGGTTCATGGGACATTGCTTAAGAAGGTAGGTTTCATCCGCAGGCAAGGCAAGGGACAACCTGAGGGCAGTGATGTCATGGGGTAGGGTGGTAGTTGGGGTTTAAGAAAAATGAAGGAATTCTAGAAGAAAAAAAAAACCTTTGCCTATGATTCTGCTTGGGTCGTCTTGAATGTTATATTGGCCTTTAAAAATGTTTTATCAATGCTTCCTTTGAAAAAAAAAATGACTGAACCTTTCCAGTGACTGGAACCCACTATTCTTTCTCCTTTCTCACTACCACCCTCCCCTCAATTAGAACCCTCCTTGGCTACGAGGAAATATAGCCCAACACATTCAATCAGTCAACACTGTGCTAGGTGCTAACTCATATTCTATTGGGGGAAACACATACCAATGTAAATAAGTTCATTGGGGATGGAATGCACTTGCAGTTGGGGGAACAAGAAAGTCTTCCTAGAGGATATGGACCTTGAGTTGAGTCTTGAAGGAAGTAAGGGATTTTATGAAGTGGAAGGAAGGAGAGATGGAATTCCAGGAATTGGGGGACAGCTAGTGCAAAGTCAGGGAGACAAGATGAAGTGTCAAGTACTAGGAACAGCAAGAAGACAACTTTGGCTGGATTGTAGAGCCCAGGAATGAGAGCAGCAGGATGATGACTGGAGAGGTAGTTTGAAGCCATATTGTTAAGATCTTTAAAAGCCAAACAGAGGAGGTTAGTCTTTATTTATTCTTTACTTATTTATTTATTTTTATATTTTAATTTATTTCTTCTTTATCCTAGAGGCAATTGGGCATCACTATAGCTTGAGTAAGGGCAGCTAGGTGGCACAGTGGATAGAGTGCTGGGCCTGAAGTCAGAAAGACTCATCTTCCTGAGTTCAAATCTGGTCTCAAACAAAAGCTGTGTGACCCTGAGCAAGTCACTTAACCCTGTTTGCCTCAGTTTCCTCGTCTGAAAAATGAGCTAGAGGAGGAAATGGCAAACCATTCCAGTATCTTTGCCAAGAAAACCCCAAATGGGGTCATGAAAAGTCAGACACACCTGAAATAAATGAACAACAAACTAGCTTGAGTAAGGGAGTGGCTTTGTAAGATTTGAAGGAAGACTTTGGGCCTGTTGGACAATGTAGGTTGTTATTTTTCATCAATGGTCCCCCACCTCCCCACTGAAAAGAATGAGGCTTTGTACACTGTCCATTCACTGAAAAGTCATCATTGGCCACTGAATTGATAGGCTTTCTAGTGGCTAGATTGGCTGTCCTGATATAATACCTCACATCTAATACCTTCTCAACATTTCTCCTATACATATCCTTTTCTTACACAGCCACCACTCTTGTATAGACCAGAGGTAGGGAGCCTGTGGCTTCGAGGCCACACGTGGCCTTCTAGGTCTTTGGATGCGGCCTTTCAACTGAGTCCAAGTTTTACAGGCCAAATCCTTTTATTAAGGGGATTTGTTCTGTGAAGTTTGGATTCAGTTCTGTAAAACTTGGACTCAGTTGAAAGGCCGCATCCAACGACCTAGAAGGCCACATGTGGCCTTGAGGCTGCAGGTTCCCCACTGGATATTATTACCTTTTCCCTGGATTATTGAAATAGGTTTCTAATTGGTCTCCTTACCTCATGCTCTTCCTGATCCAATCCATCCTTCACATGACTACCAAGGTGATTTTCCTAAACCATAGGTCTGACTTAACCCCTCTCTCCAACTTGGTAAACTCTAGTGCCTCCCTGTTACCTCCAAGATCAAATATAAAGCTCTTCCCAACCCGAGTTCTTCCTACTTTTTTATTCCTGTTATACTTTTTCAGTCATTTCAGTGGTGTGCAACATGGTGACCTCATTTGGGGTTTTTTTATCAGAGATACTAGAGTGGTTTGCCATTTCCTTCTCCAGCTCATTTTACAGATGAGGAAACTGAGGCAAAGAGGACTAAGTGACTTTCCCAGGTTCCCACAGCTAGTAAGTGTCTGAGGCTGGATTTGAACTCAGGAAGATAAGTCTTCCTGATTTCAGAATGGCATTCTATCTACTGCACCACCTAGTTGCCGTAGGTACTATTATAATCCCCGTTTTACAGATGAGAATACTGAGGCCAAGAGAAGTTAAGAGACTTGCCCAGAATTATTGAGCTAATAAGTATCGAAGGCAGGATTTTGAATATGGGACTTCCCAACTCCAAGTCAAGCACTCTTATCTACTGGGCCATCTAACTGACTTTCTATTCTGATAGAAAATAGCATTTCCCAAACTATTCTACAGAATTGTGGTGTTTTGGTGGGAATACTGCCTCAGGTTTTTCTTTGTTTGTTTTGGGTTTTTTTGGGAGACAATAGGGTTTAAGTGACTTGCCCACAAGTGTCTGAGGTCAATTTTGAACTCAGGTCCTCCTGACTCCAGGGCTAATGCTCTATCCACTGCACCACCTAGCTGTCCCTGGGAATAATGCCTCTGTAAGAGAATTTTAATACAGCATTTTCCCCCTTAAAATATTAAATGTAAACTTGCATATCAAAAAAGTGAAGGACAATTTTTGGTTTGAAAGTGTACTTAGTTTTTCCTTGTTTTGCTCTAAAATTTTCCTGCCTTTCCTTTAACTCAAGGTTTTCTTGAAGTCTCTCTTCACTCATTCTTTCCTTCTTTCATAATTTATTATTAGTGGTAAAAATAACAATGGCTAGCATTTATATGGTACTTTAAGGTTTGCAAAACATTTTCCTTATATTAGATCATTTGAACAACCATTGTATGGATGAGAAAACTGAGGCTTGGCAAGTCAAGTGACTTGCTTAGGCCACCATAGCTAAATGTCTGAGGCAGGATGTCAACCCTGGTCTTCCTGGTTCTGAGTCTAGCTCTCTATTCACTGTGACATCTAGCTACCTACATTTATGTGGTCTATTGGATATTTGAATATCTCTATGGCAAAATGCCTGGTGAATGCTGGCACAGAATGTCTGCATTCTAAATCAGATCATTTTCCAAGTGGTGAACTTCTGGTGGGGAATCATCTTGGCGATCAGCATTTATTTACCTTTTTTAAAAAAAAAAATTGAGAGACAGTATGCTTTAGTAGAAAGTTTGGTAGAATTATCAGAAACTTGGGTTTGAATGGAACCTCTGATACTCTAGCTATGTGACCATGCCCAAGGCACTTCATCTTTGTGAGGTTCCATTTGTCTCATCTATAAAATGACATACCCACAGTACCTAACTCATAGGCCTGTTATGATGCTCAGATGAAATAGTATATGTAGAGTACTTTGCCAGCCCTAAAGTGCTAATAAATGTCAGCTGTTTCTTATTTTTTTGCCTTGCTGAATGCACGGATCAGGACTTCCTCCCTGTGTTGGAGCTGCTTTTTCTCAATGTCTTAAGGCCATGTCCAGCACTTTACTTTCCTAGCTATCAGCTGCGATTATAGTTTTCCTGAGGCCAAGAAGCAGCCTTAAATATATGGAAAACCTCCTTTGCTGGCTCTGTAAATCTTTGGACATTTAGTAACAGCTGAAGAAAAATGCAGATTTTGAGATTATTACTATTTCATATATGTTATAGTAATGGTCTTGCTTTACGCATTGTTTTATAGTTATAAAGCTAGCTGGCACAGTGGATAGAACCCTGGTCCTGATGTCAAGAAGACTTGAGTTCAAATCAGTACTCAGATACTCAGTAGATGTGTGACCCTGGACAAATCACTTAATTTCTGTTTGCCTCAGTTTCCTCATCTGTATAATGGGGATAATAATAGCACAATTATTAATAATAATTTTAACAACAATTAACAATAATTTAATTTTTAATGGTAATAATAATAATAGATAATAGCATCCCAGGATTGTTGCGAAAAATCAAATAATAATTTAAAAGTGTTTAGCACAGTGCCTGACACATAGTAAGTGCTATATAAGTGTTAGCTATTGTTACTATTATTATCTCATTTCATCTGACATATAGGTAATGTAAGTAGCATTCTCTCCATTTTACAAGTGGAGAAACTGAGGCTTAGGTAAAGGGACTTACCTAGAGCCACACAATTTGTAAGCTTCACAGGCAGGAACTCTAACTCCAAGCTCAGTGTTCTTTCTTCTAGGCCATTCTATTCCCTCTCTGAGCCTTAGCTTTTCCTTATATGTGTCATTTCAGAGTACATTAAGAGACTCCGCTATTGTGATTACCTGGGGAAGTATTTCTGTGACTGCTGCCACAGTTACGAAGAATCTTACATCCCTGCCCGGATCCTCATGAAATGGGATTTCCACAAATACTATGTCAGCAAATTTTCCAAGCACCTGCTGGACAGCATATGGCATCAACCCTTGTTCAATTTGTTGTACATCAATCAAAACCTGTATAGCAAAGTCAAGGAATTGGATCGAGTCAGGGTAAGCTTTTGAATAAGAAGACGGACCTTTGGAAGCTGCTGAAGCCTTTCTGCCCGAGGACAGTGGTTTTAGGCCTTCAATTTTCTTTGACTTCTGTGACATCATGGAATGTCTCAGTTCCATTCCTTTCTCTCCAATCCCGAAGTTAACCACTCTAGTTCAGACCTTCGTCACCCCTCCCTGGCTGCTGCCATAGCCTCCTAAAGAGGCTCCCAACTCCCAACCTTGTCTGTATCCTGCATGGCTGTCAAAACAACCTCCATAAAGGGCAGGGATGACTATATCATCCCCCCAACTCAGAAACCTTAGCAGGGGTGGGGAATCTTCAGGCTTCGAGATCACATGTGGCCCTCCGGGTCCTCAGTTGTGACCCTTCGCCTGAATCCAAACTTCACAGAACAAATCCCCTTAATAAAAGGATTTGTTCTGTAAAACTTGGACTCAGTCAAAAGGCCACACACAACCACTTAAGGTTTAAATGGTTGCCCACTGGTTTCAGAATAAGATACAAATTTCTTAGCCTGGCATTTAAGGTACTCAACATCCCTATGTTTTCAGCCTTATTTTATATTACTTGCTTTCTGTATTCTATATTCCAGGAAAATAGGCAGAATGCTGGGCTTGGAGTCATATAGAGAACTGAGTTCAAGTTTGGCCTCAGACACTTAACACTCTGTGTGATCCTAGGCAAGCCACCTCTGTTTGCTTCAGTTTCCTCATCTGTAAAATGGGAATAATAATAGCACCTACCTCCCAGGGTTTCTGTGAGGATCAAATGAGATAATAATTGTAGAGATCTTGACACAGTGCACACAGTAAGTGCTATATAAATATAAATTATATATACTAAGCTGTATTTATTTGTTCATAAGTTGTATTTCTCTAGTAAAATGTATGATCTTTGGGGGAAGGGACTGTTTTTATTTTTATTTCCCCAGTACTTTGCACATAGTAGGTACTTAATAAATTCTTATTGAATTGACATTCTAACTTTTCAGAGTTTTTGACTGTAATAACAGCTAACGTTTACATAGCACTTCAAGGTTCGCAAAGCACTTTTACCTATGTTAACTCTTTTGATCCACATGGCAACCCTGTGAGGTGGGGGTTATTCTTCTCCCCATTTTACAGCTGAGGAAATCGAGGCTGAGAAAAATTAAGTGACCTGTTCAGGGTCACACAACTACTAATTGCCTGAAGCAGGATTTGAACTCAGGAATTGAACTGTCCTCTGTGTCAACTAGATGAATATGAAAAAATGAATGCATTTAAATAGGCAAGGAAGCATCAGGGTTGACTTTTAAATTATAGTTCTTCGCAGTATGTGCTTACAGTATGTGATTTTCCCTCACTACCATTTGAGTAATAATGCCTTTCTTGGCTTGAATCTTAGGAAATCCAAGAGAAGCTTGTTCAGATTAAGAAGCTATTAAAGACCTGCAGATTTGCTGAAAGGTACTATTTTGAGTAGAATCTCCTCAGGAATGTGAAGTGGGGAGACTTAATAGCTGGTTCCTGCCCTTTAGCTGGTCTTTCATCTCATTCCATCCAATCTATTCATTGATTCATTCTTTTTGTTTGTTTTTTTTATACAAAAAATTTTTAATCATTCATTCAAAAAACATTAAAATGACTACCATGCGTAAGGCCTTGCACAGAATTCAAGGGGTGATATGGGGTTGAGAATACAGAGATAGAAAAGGTCTAGCTGTTTTCCTCAGAGAGGTTACAATCTAGTAAGGGGAGATAGGACATGTACCTGAATAAGAATGATACAAAATAGAATTTGTTAAGTGCATAGTAGATCTCTCTCTCTGTATGTGTATGTATGTGTGTGTATATATATATATGTGGTATAGTTAGTACATAAAAGGGAAAGATCTCTTCCAAGTATAGAGAATCAGAGAAGGCTTCATGGAGGGAGGTAGTTTTTCAACTAGGTTTTAATGAGGAAGATTTCAATGGTGGACATGGGATAAGGGTATTCTAGGTAAAGGGAATAGCAAAGGTTCAGAGGTGGGAAAGTATAGAATTTCAGGAGGCACTGAGTAGTCTAGTTTTGATGAAGGTGTGTGTGTGGGGGGAGATAAGTATTTATATAACACCTACTATAAGTGCTTCACAAATATTAACTCATTTGATCCTCACAACAACCTGGTGAGGTAGGTGGTGTTATTATCCCTATTTTACAGTTGAGGAAACTAAGGCAAACAGAGGTTAAGTGACTTGCCCAGAGTCACACAGTCATTAAATATCTGAGGTCAGATTTGATCTCAGGTATTCATGACTCCAGACTCAGCACTCTATCCAGTGTGCCACCTAGCTACTGGAAGTGCAGGGTATGTGCAGGGGAATGGTGTGAGGAAAAGGTAAAAAGGTAGCTCAGATCTTTTTCACTGCTTCTATCAAGCTAGATACGAAAACTGTTGCAGGAAGAATTTTTCTTTAGTTAGTGTGTGCTTCATATGGAGGATTTCTCAGCTTCTTTCCTGAAGAATCCACATCATTGTTTTGGCAAGATTGACTTGAGGGTAAAATATCCTTCCCTTTACCAGCCCCTGCTCTCCATTTTGGTTTGCCCTTCTTGGAGGGATGGTCCAGCTTTACTCACCACTCTTAATTGCTTCCTTTAGCTCTGCTGACATCTCAACCAAACAAACAATGTGGGTCACCAAAGTAAATTTAGAGATTAGTACAGAAGTTTTGTTTTTGCACTTGGACCACACATTGTCTTCTCTTTTTGACCCTTTTCTCTGGCAGAAATATTTGAATTAATTTGCTAAAATGCTTTCATTGTTGTTGTTATTAGTCCTGTGCATCAAATTTGAGAGTCAGCATTTTTATTCGAGTAATACCTTTTTAAAGCAAAACTTGAGCAATATACTTTTGTGATGTCTCAGTTTCTTTGTGTCTGTCTCTGGTTCTCCCTTTGTGCCTTTGTCTCTGTCTCTGTCTTATCTCTGTCTTTCTCTGTCTTGCCTGTCTCTCTGCATCTTGCCTGTCTCTTGTCTCTGCCTCTCTGTGTCTTGTCTCTCTGCCTCTTGTCTCTGCCTCTCTGCTTCTTGCCTCTGTCTTTCTGTGTCTTGTCTATCTGTGTCTTGTGTGTCTCTTGTCTCTACCTCTCCGTCTCTTGCCTCTGCCTCTGTCTTGTCTCCCTGCCTCTTGTCTCTACATCTCTTCCTCTCTATGTCGTCTCTACTTCTGTGTGTTGTTACTGTCTCTCCGTGTCTTGTCTCTGACTCTCTGTCTCTTAGTCTTTGTGTCTCTGTGTCTCTCTGTCTGTGTCTCTCTCTCTTTACACAGAATCAGTGTGCTCTCTACTGTCTGCCTGAGTCTATTTATATTAGAGAATTTGAAGGGTGAGTCATAGCAGCACAAGAAAAGCTAGGATTTTTCTCTGCTTCTTATTATGCAGAAAACTAAACTGATTTATAAAATGACCTGAAATTCTCTCCTCCCTCTTCCCACTAGGATATTAAAAGATTTTGAGCAGGTGCCAGGACACTTGACAAATGAACTCCACCTGTTCTCTCTGGATGACCTCGTCAAGATCAAAAAGGGACAATTGGCTGCTGTTCTGAGAGTACTTTTGAAAGCCTCCCTTGTTCATGTGGACAGCTGTGAAGTAAGGAAACCCACCACCACTTAGAAAGATTTGTATGGGCTTTGGCCAATACCCAGAGCTCCAGGCAGCCTGGATTAAGGGCATAGGGCTTTACCTTCCCTCACACAGGAGAGGCAGTGTGGGATGTGGACAAAGAAATAACTTGGGAGTTAAGGAGATCTTGGTTCAAATCCCACCCCTCACACTTACTAGGTATATGTTCCTTGACATCATAAAGTTACTTAGAATCTCTGGACCTTATTTTCCTCATCTGTGAAATGGGTATAATTTTGCCTGTAGCACCTTCCTCACAATGTTATTGTGAGGCTCAGATAAGATTGTATACATAAGAAGTTTTTTAAATTCTAGGATGCAAATCTTAGCTATTTAGTATTGCTAATATCATTTTTCTTATCTTTGATTTTTTAAACAGAATTCAGATAGAAATAGTCCTGGGACAAGTCCTTATTCTGCTATAATTATTTTATCTTTAATGTTCTGTTGATTATTGAACAGGTAGATAAAGAAATGTTTTTTGTGTTTGTTTGTTTTGGTTTGTTTTTGTTTTTTTATTTTTTGGTAATTGAATAAAAGTTTTGGGATGTAAGCGCCTTTTTTTGTAGGTTTACTGAAAGTACTTTTGGGATAACTCCAATAATAGGCTGGTAGGAATGAAATGTGGCTCTTCCTGTTCCTGTATGGTTTTGATTTCATCAGCAATGTCTTTATTTTGAAAGTTTTTCTTTTACTTGGAAAATGTAGTTTGGAAATTCTGAGTATTTGTTTGGGTAAGGCTGACTAAAGTTAAGCCAACTACAGATCAAAAACATCAGGAGGTTCCATAAGTTTCTAAATTGAAAAATTTCTCTGCCCCAATATGGAAATATTCTTGCCCAGAAAAGTGCTTCTCTAATACATTAAGCCACCTTGTTCTTATGGATCACAGATTTTGAGCTAGAGGAGACTTCAGAGGTCATTGAAATTGACCTCATCATTTTAAAGACAGGAAGCAGATGCAGGTAAAATGAGTAGAAAGTGACGGAAAGGACTTAAAGGTAAGTCCTCTGATTCCAAAGCCAGGGCTCTTGTCATGATACCCCATTGCCCTTCTCCTTGGGAAATGTGGACCAACTTCTTTTAATGATTAGGTTATTTACCACCAGAGGACAGGAAAATAGGTTATTTTAAAAATGATCTTTGTCAGTCCTCCTCACAGTGAAACCAGTGATTAGCTACAAGCTTTCTGGATCTCAAAATAGCATCTGAAATGAGAATGGTAGCTCACTGAGTCCTTCTTTTCCAGCTATGTCAAGGAAAGGGGTTCATTTGTGAATTTTGTCAGAGCACAGCTGTAATCTTCCCATTCCAGACGTCGACATGCAAAAGATGCCCAGGTATCTTTGAACACATAACTGTTTCTTAAAATGAAAAACAGGGATTTCTGCACAATGTAGAACAGTGATTTGGGGGTTTGCATATTTGTGCTGGACTGTAGGAAATAAAATATTTGGGTTAAATGTAGGTCAGATTGTTTTGAACCGCAGTAGACCTGTAGAATTTACATGAAGTTGAAACAACACAAACAATAGCTTCTGGGATCTTCTGGGATATCTTCTGGAACCAACCCTCTTTAGGACTGAGTTTTGACAAAGGGGAAGTAGTTTGTGCTTCACCCAAACTCCTTCTTAATGACTGGGAGGACATTTTTATAGGAGGGATCTTGGGCTAGGTTCTCCCTGTATCCTAGACTTATCTTGGGTGCTCCTTTGGGATCTTCTCATTTCTCTTTGCCCTCAAATGGAATTTGGGAGGCATGTTCCTGTGCTCTTCTGGATCTCCTTTTCCTGGACCATTTGAAGATCATGTTGTCATTGGGGTGGGGGCAGGAAATAGATTTCAATGGGTTTTTTGTATGCTTTTTGGTTTTCTTAAGAACCACAGAGGAAATCTCACATTTAATCTATTGATGACCTTCTCTCATTTTTACAGCTTGCAAAGCTTGCTTTCATAAACAATGCTTCAGGTTGGCAGACTGCCCCAAGTGCTTGAGGATCCAAACTCGAAAGAAGCTTTTGCAGAGTTTGCCCTCTGTGGCAACTTGAAACCAAAAGTATTGTCCAGATGACTGCAACTCCCCACATGTATTAGGGAAGCTGTTAGGCTTGCCTACCACTGTTAATGTTGTTTTAGACATTGGATGTATGCTGTGTATAAAGAAATGAACTTGCTAAGCACTGTATTTCTTTGTATATATTTAATTTAAAAAAATACAGATACTTGGCTATCCAAAGTGGGGGCTTTGTTACTCCTAATAACTCGGTTTAAAAAAATGAATGTTCAGGAGAATTTCTAATGGTAGTGAATTTTTTGCTGCTAAAAGGGCTTTTTAAAGTATTTTGATACTTCTTAAATTGTATTTGGACAATTCTAGTTTTGCTTTTTATACGAAGTACAGTTTCAAAATGATTAGGTCTATTTTTTTAAAAAGCAAGTTTTAAGTGTTGGGATAAATTACTGAGTTTTTCTTCCTTAAAAACTGATTATGTGAAACTGACTGTATTTTCATTAAAATAAATGCAACATCAGAGCCTATTGTTTGTAATCATCATCATCATCATCATCCATTGTTAGTATCAGGAATAGACACTAAGACCTGACATCTACATACAGTTCCTATAATTGAGAGGATCTAAGTCTGAATCCCAGTTTCCTTATCTATGAAATGAGGGGGTTAGATGAGATGATCCCCACTGTTCATTTTAGCTCATAATCAATGCTCCTTTGACATTCCTTTATTTCATTGTCTGGATGAGAGAATTTTTGTGTCTGAAAGTGATGTTCATATTTACTATAATCCAGGCTTTCAGTATGTAGCAAATCCCCTACCTGCTTCCCCAACATCCTGATGTCAAGGCCAATTCCATCTGCCACCCAGCCATCCCTCCATGGATGGATCAATGAAAACTTTGGGCATTTGTCTGTAATTTGAAGCAGTTACCACCAGATGGCACTCTTTTTATTAGTAGCACAGATTTATTCACTTAAATGGATAGAGAATGTAATTAGAAAGAGAATAACAAACTGAAAGAAAATAATGTTTAGTGAATTATCATAGTCATAGGACTCATTTTATTCCTATGAAGTCCTATTCTGATGTCTCATCCAAACACTGAACTGAGTCTGGATTATGACAATAAATGACATTTGCATGATGTTTTAAATTTAGTGAATTACTTACTAATTGATCATATTTAAACCTCAAAAATATGAGGTTTACTCTACTTCCTACCTCTATTTTTGGGGGGGCAGGGTGGAGGTCTGGATATGTGATTGTATCAATATGGGGAACAACTGATATTGATAAACCTTGCTTCTTAGAATTAGGGACTATTTCATTTTTACTGAGTCCTCAATAGCCTCAATTCTTTCTCCTGATTTTGACATGTAGTCTCAGAGGGTTGCTCGGGGATGCTGAGTAGCCATGAACTGGCATAACCAGTATAATAGAAGTCAGACTTGAACAGAGTGAGACAGAGAGACCAACCAAAAGGCTATAAAATTCCAGGTGTAAGGGGATAAGGGCCAGCACCTTGGTTGTGGTAGAATCAGAGAAGAGAAAGGGACAGATATGACAAATGTCATGAAAGTAAAGTCAACAGGACTTGGTAACAGATTAGATATGAGGTGGGATGTGTGTGAGAAAGAGGAGTAGAGAATGATGCTGAGATTTTGAGCCTGGGTGATTGGGAAGATGGTGGCACCCTCAACAGGAATAGTGGAGTTAGAGGGCAGGATTTTGGAGGGTAAGGTAATAAGGTCAGTTTTGGATACGGTAAGTTTAAGATGTCTATAGGACATCCAATTTGAAGTGCCCAATAGTCAACTGGAGATGTGAGACTAGAGGACAGGATGTAAATTGGGGCTGGATAAATGGGGCTGAGAGTCATCTACATTGAGGTGATTAATTGAAACCATGTGAGGTGATGAGATATCAAGGCAAAATAGTATGGAAGAAGACTAGAAGAGGGCCAAGGACAGAGCCTAAGGGGGGGACACCTACAGTTAGTGTGGATGAATTGGATGAAGATTCAGCAAAAGGAACTGAGAAGTGTTCAGACAGGGATAACAGTGTAACAAAGCCTAGACAGAAGAGAATATAAAGGACAAGAGGGCGCAACAGTGTCAGACGCTCTAGAGAGGTCAAGAAGAATGAGAATTTGAGGAAAAGCCATTAGATTTGGCAATCAAGATCACTGGAGAGAGAAGGTTTAGTTTGTGACATTTAAAACGTTCAAGAGATAGAGTTTCTGGGGAATTTAATCATTTTGTTAATAACGCCAGCATGTTTATTAATAAAAGGGTGGTCATTTGGCCATCTCTTTTAGACCAAAGACCCCTCATGGTGGTGGGCTCACAGTTTATAGTCTCTTGGAAAAGCAGGTGTTCCTGAGGGTGGCAATCAACTCTGATTGGTTAACAATTAATGAGAATATGAATATTACCATGAGAGAGTGGGCTATACTACAATGAGGGTCTTGGAGTACGTGACTTGGATGTCCCAAGTCTTGGTCAAAGAGACTTAGCAATTTCCATATCACCTGTCTGATAAAAGAAAGGATCCACATTTTCCCAGACCTGTCTGAGCAAGCACAATGAGCAGCAATATACCCCTTAGCCTAACCTTAGAATTTCTTTTACTGTCTTTAATTAGATCTCAGCCATCCTGGCTGGGTAAGTCTTTGAGAGAGATTTCCCACACTGGTTGATTTCTGAATGGTTCTGATACAATAATTAGTTATTAATACACAAGAGAAATAATCATTTCTCGCAAGTTGAATGATGAGGTAGGAAGCCATACTGCAGAGCTAAGGATGAGAGAAAAGGAAGTGGAGAGACTGTGTATAGCTTTCTCAGAGAGTTTAGTCACAAAAGGGATGAGAGAGATAGAACAAGAGGGGAGTGGATGTGTCCATCCATCCCTGGGGTTTTTTGAGGATGGGAACAACATGGGTTGGTTTGTAAGTTGTAGAAAAGCAGTCAGTAGACAGGAACAGATTGAAGATGAGTGAGAGAGTGGGGATAATAGAGGGCACAGTCTGCTGGAGATGATAGGATGGAATCACTTGTGCGTGTGTGCTGGCAAGGAGAAGGGCCACCTCTTTATGTGAGATTGGTGAAGGAAACTATAGTGGTGGAAGGCTTCTGGGTGATATAAGATGAAGAAGAGGGGAAAAGAGGGACCTTTTGGTGAATGGTCTCAATTTTTTTTCAGTGAAATATGAAGTTGAAGAGGAGAAGGGGAGTAATGGGAGCTACTAAGTATCAGAGATATAATTTAGTCCCAGGTCTCCTGATTCCAAGTCTGTTACTCTCTATACTATATTATAATGCCTCTGGGTTCTCACTCAGAGCCAGCAGATTGTCAGCTCTGGTAGGTGCTACCAAGCTGGATGACATTTGAGGTCTAGCTCAATTTGCATATATTTGCATATCTGCATATATTTCATATATTTCTGGTTTAGATGTATGAGAAGTTCAGAACAAAATCTAGACCCTTGATCTAGATCCCTCAGCTTACCGTTTCCAACTTAGCCCCTCTCCAATGCTAATTACACAAAAGAACATTACATATAATGAACAGTAAGCAAACTCATGTCATCCAAGGGGAGGTCATCTCTTGGCTGTCTCTAGAATTGCAAGTCCTTGGGGTAGCTAAGTGGTGCAGCGGACAGAGCACTAGCCCTGAAGTCAGGAGTACCTGAGTTCAAATCTGGCCTCAGACCAAACACTTCACACTCACCAGCTGTGTGACCCTGGGCAAGTCACTTAACCCCAATTGCCTAAAAAAAAAATTGCAAGTCCTGCAAATCAAGACACATGATGGAGCTGGCTCCTCTACACATTTGCAGCCCAGAGGGCTCCAGTCTTTCAATCAAAAGTCTTTAGCTTTTTTTTCTTTTTTTTTTCCCAGGGCTTAATTTATTCAATTCCAAGCTCCTGGAGGGGAAAAGGGGATTTGGGTACATCTAGAGGGGTCATGGAGCATGGACCCCTCCTGGAGCATCCTAACACCTCAATAAATAAATTGGTAAATAAATACTGGGGCAGGGGGACAAAGCACATCAACAGTCTCAGGGAAAGGGATCAAGGGACCCATCATGTCCATCACAGCCCTTGGGCAGCAGGGTTCTCTTTCCACTTAAAAGCTGAGCAGGAGCCACATGGCCCCTCCAATTGGCACTCAGGGCACCCCTCCCATTGGTCCACTAACACCTGGAACTTTAATGGACTCCAGCCTTCTGATTGGTCCCTTAGGAGACATAACTCAATGACCCACACTTGATGCTCCAGAACTTTGAACCAGGCTGATTGGCTCAGTTGGATTCAGGCCCCAAGCTCAACCCATTGGAAGGTGTGTGTGTGTGTATATGGGAGGGGGAAGCCCCTGAACCAGGCAGAACAAGGGGGTTGGGAATTAATGGCACAGAGTGTTGCAATAAAGGGCCCCTTAGGATCATCGATTCAGAGCTGGAAGGGGACTCAGAGGTCATTTAGTCTAACACCATCATTTTTACAGAGAAGGAAACTGAGGCACCCTGTGCCCCCCAGAGTCATAGTTCCTGGGTCTAGAAGAGAGAAAGTGGGGAGAAGGAAGAGAAGTTAAGGCAGCATCGACCTTCAGAGCTGAGAGAAGGGGGAAGTGGAGGCTGATTTGAGGGGTGAGGGGGAGGGGATGCTGCCATTAGGGAAATGGCACCCAGTAGAGGGAAGCAGGAGATAATGTGGGGAGAAGACACCTAGCCCAACCTAAAGGGAGAAGGGATAGCTAGGTCCCTTGGGGAGCTGGGGAGCTGGGAAGCAGGTCCTGACCTACTGATCCCAGAAGATGGAGGGAGAGAGGGATAGAGAGAGAGAGAGAGAGAGAGAGAGAGAGAGAGAGAGAGAGAGAGAGTGTGTGTGTGCCACCATTGTGGCAGGGTTAGGGGGAGGAAAACATCCAAACTGGATCAGGATATGGGAATTGGGGGAGGGGTCTTCTCATGAGCAGAGAGTAAAAAGAGACCAGGGGAGAAGAAATGGGAGTGAGATGACAGCCCGTCCTCTTGGCTGCCTTGCCTCTGGTCAGGTTGCCTCAGTCCTCTAGACCTGCTATCAAGTCTGCAATACCGTCTACGTACAGGTCAACCTGGCCTGTAGCCAAGTAGGCCCGGGCCTGATCCAGCCTGGAGACTCCAGTGAGGGTGAGCACAGTGGTCAGACCACAGCGGTGACCAAAGAGGATGTCCGTCTCCAGCCGGTCACCCACCATCAGGGTGTGAGCTGGGTCCACGCCAAAGTGCTCTGTGATCCACTCGAACATGTAGGTACTGGGTTTGCCCACCACTACTATCGCCTGGCGTCCTGATGCTGTCTGCACTGCAGCTGTCAGGCTCCCAGTCCCCGGGGTGGTGCGGCCGTCGCTGAGGGGGTGCCACGGGTCCACGTCGGTGGCCACCAAGAGGCAGTCGGGGTCGCGCAGGTGGGCGCAGGCCTCGCTCAGCTTGGTGAAGGTGAAGCGCTAGTCGTAGCCCACGAGCACGGCGCA